CCCTTAAGGGGGTGAAAATGGAGATGAAAGTTTGTATTGGGAAAGAAGCTAGAGACGAACCCGAGCGAAGCGAGGGTGAGTCGCTAGTTTCATATGTAGCCACAAAGAATATGTAGGATATCTTTATATTGAGTTCCAATTAGATAATCAAATGAGTTCAAAAGTACAACTCAAACATTATATAAATGTAATAATAAAATATAATCCATTCGTGTGAAGGCATTATATTTTATTATTTATAATGAACTTTTATATTTTAATGTTATTACCTATACCTAATGAATATACATAATATAAATACTATTTATTAATCCTACCAAAACTTTTTAAAAGGTTTATTTAATTTATATCGCGCTTGATTTTGTAATATGAAATATTTCACGAATAAATAAACTGATACATAATATATTGGTAATTGAAATAATAATTATTACATCCACATGTAATGTGAGATTTGCAAATAAACTGGTTAAATTTCATGTGACCTTGTATCAAACAGCTAAGGAAAGCTGATTTTTAGGGTTCCGTATCCAAAGGGGTGCTAACGAAACCCTGTTATTATGCCGCCTCTGTCCGTCTGTCCGTCCGTCATGAACCGTAGTAGGAAATTTAGTTGAAATTTTCACAGAGTATGTCTTTGTATTGCCGCTATAACAGAAAATAATTAAAATAAATAAAAATAAAAATACAAGAAACATTACTTTAACGTTCATAATCGATCATCAACGTTAATATACCACATAAATATGACATAGAGTAAAAGTCATATTAATAAAATGTACACATACGATGGTACGGAACCCTACGTATGTGAAATAGATTCGGACTTGACCGATTTTTATTATACGAATCTTTCTAATACACTGTCATTAAATATCACTCATCAAAATCTATATCACTTGTGAAATACTAATAAGAACACAGCATATCTTGTTATGATATCGTAAGTAGGTATGTTGCATGTCACCGATCAAATTTAAAAGTATGTGTGGAGGACTTCGATCGAGCTTTAACATTATATTTATTGAAGTCAAAATTTTTACATTTGCTAGATTTGATTGTGTGTTTGCGCACGTATGTACCACGGCTCGGAAACCCGTTTCATTTTTAAACCGGAAAGGCTTTTGGTTTATTTTTGGTTACCCAGATAAATCCGAGAGAATTGTTTTTGACCAATTTAGGTTCCATGACCAAAATTAACCGATTAAAATGAGTTTTTGTGCAATTTCATTTGGGGCGTTTTTGCTAATGGTGAATGATTTAGTACAGCCATACTCACCCTTTTTTTATAGGGGCCACAAACACGTTGTCATGGTCTATTTTCATTTTTTTTAAACAGAACTTCTAGATTGGTATCGTTTTCAAAATCGATGAACTCATCAAACAACTCTTGAGTAATTACAATTTAAAACGGAAGCCAACTCTGAGTTGTAAGTTCAGATGGGCCAATAACAAAGGCCCGGCGGGCCGCAGGTTGAGTATAGCTGGTTTAGTAGAACGATACATGTACGTTTCTTACTTATGAATGAAATAACCGGTTTATTTCGGTATCAAAACCGAAATCCAACTTTTCTCTAAGAATAATCCTTAACCAATATTATTTCGGTACTAAACCGTTCGTTTTCATTCCAACCAACCGGTTAATGAACGAGCGATGAAGCCGGCTCCAAGCCCTGGTCTGTTCGGATATTATTGAAACCTTTTGTATTGTACAAATAATGAAAAATTATGAAATAGTAAAAACATTATTGTTTACGTATTATATTATTATAATTAGTATCTACTTGGCTATTACACTGAATCATTTTGCCTTTTTAAACGAACTCGAGATTTTTTCAATAAATACTTTTTCAATTAAAAAGAGTTTTGTCGACTTCAAAAAAAAACTTTAAAACTAAGTTAAAAAATCGCCAAATTACTTTCAATAATAACAAAAATCAGTTAGGCTCATACTATATTGTTTGGTTGCACTCACTTACCAATCTATGTGATAATGTATTCTGACGTTAGTTTCTATCATCAACATGTTGGCATTTGTGTAGTCGATCAGGATATTGCTGAAAACGTCCGGCAAATAGACTGAAGTATACTAGTTTTTAAATATATAAATTTCTACATATTTAAAATTAATATGTAATATAAAAATAGTGTATATATTACGTATTAATTTTAAATATGTAGAAATTTATGTATTTAAGAAAATAATCAAAGTTTTTTTTTCATTAATAAATATCACTATAATATTTAAAAATTACAAGTATATATTTTAAGTAAATATTAATTAACAAACTTTAAGAAAGGTGGAAAACATAATATTAGTTTAAATCGCAAAATTTTATTCATGATGTTTCACCGACTTTTTGCAGACGGACTGATCTGGCTGGTTAAAATTTAAATTGTAATTAAGACTCGACTTATATAATTAAAATATTTTTTTTATTTTTGTTTGCCTTGAGCCGGCCGTCAATGGCTTCAAAAATATAATTTTTCAATGATAAGCATCTAATTAGATACATATGAATGAAAAATTATATTTAGTTATATTACTATCTTTTATATATATAATTCTTCTGTGAGTGTGTATGTCACTGAACTTCTCTCAAACGACTGGACCGATTTTGATGAAATTTTTTGTGTGTGTTCAAGGGGATCTGGGAATGGTTTAGATTCACAATTTGAATAATAATTTTCATCAAAAAAATTATTAAAAAAAGTTTGAAATTTTCAAATTAAAGACGTGTAGACAGGACAACGTCTGTCGGGTCCGCTAGTATTATATATATTTTTAAATTTATTACTTCTCCATGGTGTTTGTCTGACCCACCAACAATGTACTGTACTAAAACGTTGAAAAATTGTTATAAACAATTTATTTACATACAAGCTCACATTTGACATTATACTTCCTTTTCCGGAACATAGAATATTGGTATTTACTCAAACACAGCATTAACTAATTAAACACAGAATCAGAATGATGCAATAATAATAGGATTATTTTTAATATTTATTTAAAACTAGCATTGCCCGCGGCTCCGCCCGCGTTCAGATGACCAAAAACCAAATTCTTAGGTTTTACATATTTGTATACTCTTACAATGCAATTTATGTATTTTTTCTCTTAAATGAGATATTTTCCCGCGGTAAAAAGTGTCCTACATGTTGACTCGGATAACCAGCTACCACCATACCACCATACTACCATACCACCATACTACCATACCATTTCAATAAGATTTTCCAAAAAATATTTTATGTACAGATTCGGCTTAGTTACAATTTTATTACAAGTATAGATGAGGCGAAGAGAACCTAAATTGTTATATCGACCTGAATGAGATAGCATTCACCTTGTATAGATATCAGCCTCGGCTGCCAATTTAAAATCTGAAGTAGGTTTTGATCTAGGTTGTAGCATAGACCCTCATTAAAAAATATCTATACAGATAAATAAAATCGAAGTGTCTGTCTGTAATCTTAAAATAACAGCGTTTTACTTAATGGATAAGAAATTATATACGGTACTTATAGGAAAAACACATTTTTTTTAACTTTTGTCTGTCTGTCTGTTTGTTCCGGATAATCTCTAAAACGGCTGGACTGATTTTGACGGGAATTTCACTGGAAGATAGCCGAAGTTATAGGGTATTTTTATTTTCGAATATTATATCGAATATAACACAGGCTATTCTTATTTTCGAAAAAGAATTAAGGTTCAACTCAAAAAAATTAAAACGTACCTAGGGACGAACCCGAGCAAAGCGAGTGTGAGTCACTAGTACATAAATATATTTTGCAACAATCCTTCCCCATAATGTAAATGTGTGAAAAAAACTCTGTTAGTTCTTCATTATTTTTGACGTAACAGCAGATTAATGTGATTATTATGCAGAAATGCCATAGTCCATCACGCTGGCCAAGTGCGGGTTGGCGGACTTCACATGTCTTTCGCACATGAAAATATCAGAGGTGCGAGACCCGGGATTTGAACCCGCTTTGCTTGGTTTCCCAAACGCGCGTGTTACTATTGGGCTACCACTGCCTTTTTAAGCATGTACCGAAGAGTATGCACATGAAACTGGTTTCCACTGTTCATTGTATTAATAATTAGTCTTGCGCTAAAAGCTTTCTAATCTTAAATAAACATAGCGTGGAATTTCATGTCTTTAAGTTTTATTTATGATATATACGACATTTCTTAATAGGTACTGTAAAAAATACAATTATAAAACTTATTAAAGTTATAAAAAATGTTTAAAAATAAATTTAACAAATATTATAAGGTACTTTGATACCATTTTTGAATTTTTTGAATTCATTTTGTTATTTTGTGGGTAGGCTGTCTGTAACAACTATATAATGCCTTTGAGACTTTTTAAACCTTAGTTTCTCCCGTGACGATGATTGCTGTAAAGCATTCGAAAGGTCGGGAACCAAAAATCAAAATAAATCCGCGAAAAAACCCGAAAAGATAGTTTTATTTAAAATGTCAAATTTTCGCGTAAATCTAAGGAAGTATTATTTGAACTACTAATAAACATTTTCATTTAAAAATTGGTACGGACGCCAATTGCAATACCATTACAATTACGTTATATTTATTCTTATTAAACAATAAATATAATTAAAAAACTTCAAACGAAATAACGGAAAAGGAATATAAACAATAAGGTTAAGTATGTAATTAATGTGTACTTTAATCGTTCGAAAATTGACCTCCGTTAGTTGTGGAACTTACATATTATCGTTGCGTTCTTACAACAGTTGCGCTATGATCACCGACCACATTTAATATTGCCACAAATTGATGATAACTGTTTGATTTCGCTAGGTAGTAGATCTCGATGGTCCTAGTTGGTTTATTCTACTGAACAAATCGAACTTTCAGAGGATAAATTATTATTATTATTATAGAAACAATTATATATAGATAATTAAATTTAGATAGTTATAAAGTTATAACATTAAAACAAACGAATTTTGTTGTCAGGATCAATAAAATGACCACTGCGAGCGTTTTGCTCACTGTCGGCACGACATGGACAGCGAATAACGACGGATGCGACAAAGAAGAGCGCGTGGGACGGACTATGAGGAACGTGGCCGCTGTCGCCGCTAGAGAACTGAGGGAGACACCAGCTACAAGAGAACAAGCTATACGTATTATGCGTGAATGGATCCAAAAGAACAACGATATCAAAAATGTTAGACAAGGTAAGTTTATTCATAAAAAGTCATCTCGACACGCTTTTATTTATAAAACTATCGGTTTCAAGAGTACCTATAGCCTCAATATGGACTCCATTGTCAGACCCTGATTATTGAGTTGTCACTACTGATTATACTTATGCCAATTTAAAGCAAATTTTCAACTCCAAAATAAATGAAAGAGGATGCAGAATGTCAATGAATTTACTGTCAAAGCTATGTTAAAGGTCGTGGTTTATTATTGATTGTAGGTATATAAGCATAGCTTTAAATTCGATGGAAAACGTGAGAAAATTTATACAAAATCTGTTTTTTTGCTATGATAAATTTTGTGTAGTACTCGTAATACAACTGATATTGTAGTATATAGTAAAATAATGTTTGAAAAAAAAATATCATTTGTTTTCATAACTCTATGTTACACGAATATGTCTGATTTTACTAGTAAGTAGATTTAAAAACGGAATGAACTATCACGAAGAAGCTTTAAAAGTTCATCTGGCATTCATGTTAAACTTTTACTTCGTTTTGTTACTGTAAAATTTAAAACAGTGGATCAATTGACCCGTGAAACGTTGCTCTCATTGTTTGTAGCTGATACTTGAAAGAAAATGAGATATATTGTACTTAAAACTAATTGTTTATGAGTTCATATATGTTAAAATATCTTTAATTAAAAACCTAAAGAAAGATATATACTATAGTTTTAGTTTAATTTTCATAAAAAATATTCAGAAAACTGCTTTATTACTACAGAATTTAAATATATACCTATACACTAATATTATATAACTGAATATTTAATTTTTTAACTAACGCGCCTATCTCTGGAAAAAACTACCTTTAAAATATATTTTTACTTATTGTTATGAGCTATATTTATTTAGGAAGGTTTGTGGGCTCTAAAATCAGGCTATGGTCCGTAGGCGCGGAACAATCCAACATAAATAAATGACGCCAGTAAAGCTGTGGGCTAAAGCTAGTAATAAATATAGGACAAGGTGTTTTAGAAACAGCTTGTAATGACATTTGACCACAACTATATATAATATATAATAATTTATATGTCACTTGAAATATGACCCGAGATCCTTATGAAGGGCACGTTGTGTTTACTTCAATAAATAATAACAGATACATTAAATTACTCAAGTGATACTTATATATGTACATTATATATAATTATTTTTATATAATTAATCATTAAATTTAATTTGGCTAATTATTCATACATACGAATAACAATCGCAAAAATAAATTATACGACGGACAATAACTATTAATGTTCTTTGAGTTTCTCAGCAAAAACATTTTTTTATTATATTTGTAAATATACTAATATTGTAAAAAGGTGTGAGTTTGTGAGATTGTGAGTTTGTGACGTTGTAGGGTGTAATCTCTGGATCTACTGACCCGATTTAGATCAAATTTGGTTTGAAGATAGTTTGAGACCTTGGGAAGGACATAGGATTCTTTTTATCCCGAAAAAATGGGGATGAAAGTATGTATGGAGAATCAAGATAGGGACGAATCCGAGCGAAGCGAGGGTGAGTCGCTAGTAATGTAAATATTTATATAAACTCCTATAGGGCAAATTTTTCAACTGATATAAACATGTAGCCTTTATAATTATTGAGGTATTTTTTTCAGATGAAGCTTTCTTACTGCGCTTTCTTCGCCACAAAAAGTACAGTATACCGATGGCTCAACAGACGCTGTTGAAATATTTAAGCCTAAGAAAATTTTATCCAAGCATTTTCACAAAATTGGACTGTGAAGATCCTAAAATAAAGGACATTCTCAATAACGGGTAAAATACTTTTGTTCTTTACAATTTAGTCTACACTTTAATATATAATTTTAATGTAGATCTTATCCATGTTAAGTATATATAATATAGATTATTTATAGAAAGGAAACTACAAATATTGTAATAATGATTAATGCCTCCTTAGATCAATGTCATTTTATTGTAACCGTATAAAACACGAAAGTCATTCAACCTGTCGAATAAACAAACACATTCACACATTGACCACATCAAAAGTTGTAGTAACCGATCGCCGGCGTAGTAATAAAAGTATTGCGGTTGGCGATATTGGCCCCAATATGTGTAAAGGCCTAGTAACACGGTTACAAAACCATATTATGCAACGTATGAACTTGCCCAATTTGTACTTTTTAATTATACATTTTGCATAACTCGTTGCAGATGCCAATGTTAAATATATTCAAAAGTATTCTTTATGGTAATAAGAATATGAACTAAGACGTTATGCTCGAGCGAGTGGCAGTGATATGTATCATGGCGTATTCGAAAGTTCCCAAGCGAAGCCTTGAACTCTCCGCATTACATATATTATGCTTAGATTATATAAAAGAAGTAGTGATCCGCCCTGGCTTCAACGAGGTGTAAAATAGTGTGTAATACGCCTTACGTTTGTATAGTGGTGGTACTTGTTACATTGTATGCAGCGAGACTGACACATCGCCTACTTTTATGATTCTAGTTCAGAAACCATCAGAAACATGCAGTCTACAACTCATGAAAGTTTTATCGCAATCGCGTGAATGGTTTAACATACTTTATTTTTATTTATACAGATTTCTCCGGCGTGTTGTTTGATGTTTCAAAATGATTTGTTAAAGGTACATAGCGGTTTCACCGGTGCGCGACAGCAAGGGTCGTCGGGTCATCGTTTACAATATGGGTAAGATCTCGTACATTGACATTAGCCATAGGTTATAATTATGTAAGACTCTGCGTGCTTTGTGTACTGAAGGGCGTGTGCGAATATATTTGCCTTGCGATGTTATTGACTTTGACACTGTGTTAACTTGCGACGCGATCTTTGACATTATAATAAATACCACGTAATCCGTTCAAAGTGTAAACAAAAATGAATGGGTATATGCTGTTTGTTTGTTTTAAAAATGATCTGAATAATACTAATTTTAAAAATTAATGTATTAAGTATCATATTTATAGCGCTGCTATGTAAAAAAAAATTATCTTTAAAAATATTCCTCCGTGCTACGTCAAACGCAATCGAGTTAGGCAGACTAATGAAAATGTCAGCAGGTTACGCCTGTTGGTGCCGATCGATAACATTTTTCTAGAACATTTACTGTGGATTTAAAATACTATACCGAATATCCTTTAAAGCATCACCTTATGCAATGTTTATTTGGAATAAGCGTTGAGAAACAAACAGGGTTATATAATATAAATATTTTGACAGGTAAATTTGATGCGACGAAATATAACTGCTGGGATATGTGTCGCGCTCATGTAATAGTTTATGAGACGTTGATGGAAGACCCCATCGATCAGATCTTTGGTTTCTCTCATGTGGGGGACGGCAGTGGATCGAGCACCGCTCACGTGACCACCTGGAATCCCATCGACTTCGCAAGACTCATGAAGTGGGGCGAGGTAAATATTTGTATACACTAAAAACCTACTTTCTTTGTTTTATGCCTTTTAATTACACAATGTAAACTAAATTCAACAAGTAGGTATTTATAGTATTTTTAATATATTACACACTTCTGAGCACGAGACAAGGTGAACATCTTTTTCTTTCTCATCATCATCTCATCATCTTTCTCACTTTTTTTTCACATTCGGTAAAATAATAATAAATATGTCGAAACAATTTTTACGGCCCTTTAAATTATGTTTTGTCTGTAAGCTTTGGGGTAATATAAATAAATGTTCAGAAATCGGGCCCGTGATCCCAAGAATTGTTGCTATTGTCACATTGCACCCTCGGTCCTGACTCCGGACTAACTTACGACGGCATTTTCTTCGGTGTTATTTAAAATTTGAACATTTTTTTGTAAATAGTGCTTTAACCTAAAAATGCTTTGCAACATTACTAAAACAACTAAACATATTTATGTAATTAAGACATTTAATATAAGTTTAGATTTTTATTTCAAGCTCAATTACCTTATTTATTCCAAATTCAATATTAGGCTTTATTACATATTATTATTATGTACCTAGTACGCAGCTCTCTTAAAATCATTGTCAAGTGGACTGAGTATTTAATGACTCATAAGATGCAACAGTATCGTTCCTTTACACAACCTTCACCTCTTTTACCATTCTGCAATATCTAGACGGTTACTGTTGACAAAACATTATCTATACTAATATTATAAAGGGGTAAGTTTGTGAGTTTGTGACGTAGTAGAGGGTAACCTCTGGATCTACTGAACTGATTTAGAATAAATTTGGTAAGAAGATAGTTTGAGACCCTGGAAAGGACATAGGATACTTTTTATCCCAGAAATCATCCCTTAAGGGGGTGAAAATAGGGGTGAAAGTTTATATGGGGAATCAACCTAATTACATATATTTTTTAATATTAACTATCGTAAAACTTTCGTAAAAATCAATAACCAACTACGCAGTCGCTCACTTTGTAATTTTGCAAATTGTTTATTGGAATATTTTATTAAAGCATGAGAAGTGACGGTTATAAAACACAAAGGAAATGAAATATCTTTGTGTTGCATGAAACGAGACTTCGTTAATATTTCATGTTTCATTGAATCAATTACCGTTTAAATGAAAGCAGACAAAATAATATACGTGAATAATAATGTTGTGTTAATTTTACTCTAATTGTTTTTTTGATTCACGTAATCGTGCTTTGGTTTTACCTCATTACTCATAAGCACGTACGTTTTACATATAAGTCTCTAAGCACGTTCACGGTAAAAGTTTGTATACATATATTAAATAATGATATAGTTTACATTTTAAAATTATGTAAAAAAATATATGCGTTTGTGTCATAGTATTTTGCTACAAGACCTTTATTATTAACTAGCTTTTGCGCGCGGCTCCACTCTGTCTAAGTTTCATTTTGTTGTTCAAGTGTAACAAAATTGATTACACGAATAGCAACAGCGTCCCGACAAACATTGAAAATGACGCCCATATTGATTTTTAGAATATTTACCTCTTTTCAACCCCTGTAGGGGATGTTTTTGAAAAAAAACACACAAACCACACAAGTAATCCTACGAATTTTCTAGTGGATACAACCGTCTTATATGATTTCTCCACACAAATTTTGAACACCCGTTTCAACCCTTTAGGGGTCGAATTTTCAGAACTCGTTCTTAATGGTTGTAGTAGGATCCCTACGTTATAATAACTACCTGTGTGTCGAATTTCAACGCAATCCGTTCAGAGGTTTAAGCTATGCGTTGATAGATTTGTCAGTAAGTCACGGTTTCCTCTTATACGTGTATCTGTGTTTGTGTATTTTATCGATCCACTGCTGGGCATGGGCTTCCCGGGCCTCCTTTTAATACCGCATCAGATATATCCGCATCAGTGATAGCGCGATTACATGGGAAGCCGAGTGAAACGGGTTCAAACCGCTGATATTTTCATTGTAACATGATTACGACTTGCCTTACGGTGAAGGAAAACATCGTGAGGAAACATGCATGTCTGAGAGGACCTAGTAAGTTTTCGAAAGACCTGTGAAGTCCGCCAACCCGCACTTCGCAAGCGTGGTGGACTATGGCCTGTTCCCCTCGTATTGATATACAGATACGATATATATATACTTTATAATACAAATAACTTATTAATACAAATAATATACATAAAAAATGTTCAAATGTGATTCGGAATCGAGAATGTACAATTAATTGTCTATTCCGTTCTGTATTTTTTATTTACCAATGCAATATAAAAATATTGAACAACAGTTTCTTTTAAGTACCTACTCTATTTTATTGGAAAATGCTTAACTAAGTATATATTAAATTAACATTATGTGTTTTAGTAAAGATGGAGAGAAAATAATTATGTTTACATGTAGGTACTCGTATATGTGTGGTATCCTCAATTAGATAGGAACCTGCTATATTCACCACGTAAAATTCATTTTTAGCATTTCACTTTTTTAATACACGCACTCACTCACTCACTCACTGTGAGTGAGTGAGTGAGTGAGTGAATATTGTTACGTTTTCACTCTGTACTCAATAGATTTGGGTGAAAAATGAAACACGGATGGAGAAAGCTTATTGTACTATACGCGTGTTCTGGGATCCAGATCAATGCCTACACTATTTAATGGTGCAGAAAAACTCGATACAAAAAGTCCTCTAAAATATGCGGATATTCTGATTCACAATTCTTTTTTTTTAATGACATTAAAAAAAATCAGGTTGTTATTACAATTTCATTATTTATAAGCTTGTCTCTTTATCTAAAGGTTGTCGTTACATTAAGTTTATAGAAAAGTAGAATCCTTGACATTTTGTTAACAAGAAAGTATTATAGCTATATGTAGAACGTAACTTAATAATTTTTACTTTATTGAGCAAGATGGATACCGATTTGATATATTTATTTCTTACTAGTGACTTACAACCCGAGCGAAGCGCGCTCGGGCTCGCCCCTAGGTACGTTATAAATAGGTATTGGGAATGTATCTTAGGAGAAAGACTTATGCTATTGTTTTGTCTGTAGGCCTTATTAAGACCTACAATTTTCTAGTGCATTGTGTTGATGTATCTCTTAAGGTTTAACCAGCGATAAATATGTAAATTTCTAAGAACGATTCGATAGAACCAGTTATTGTGTTTTCCTGTGGGAATGAAAGATTTTCCTGTAGTAAAAAGTATCCTATATGTTGACCCGAGTAATAAGTTATCACTACACAAAATTTAGTTTAAATTAGTTCTGTAATTTTGCGTGAAACGTGCACATTGAATTCACTAAGATACTATTTTTATGTATAGATATTGTTTTCATGTATAGATGCTACACTTAAAGAGCTCGTCTTAATATTAACTTTAGTTGCGGAAATAATATAGGTAGGTATATTAAACATAACATTACAGAATTAAATAATTAAGGTAGAATAAAAAATAGTAATTTGTTATTGTGAGAACAAAATATTATCATGTCAATTAAAATTATGGCACAAATTCAGAATTGGGGACTTGGCCCCTAGCGGAGTGGGTGGTATTTCTGGATAAGGGACGTGATAGGGAGTCGAAATGTTAAATAAATTTTTTAATACAACAAAAGATTCAAAAGTTATTGAGACTTAAAGTTACAACATTTCCATACATTTTCATATATTTCTTTACCACCATTCGGAGTGGGTGGTATTTTTAGATAGGGGAGGTGACAGAGAGTCAAAATATATTAAAAATATTTGGAGGAAACGTACGACTAAAAAGTTATTGAGACTTAAAGTTATAACATATCTAACACATTTCCATACATTTCTTTACCTAAATAAGTGATTACAACAGATAAACATACCTTTAACGAATAGTACGCATCCTTTTTTATGTACATTACACATTTTCACAACAATTAATGCTTTATTGTATTTAATATTTTAATAATTTCACAACACAAACAAAATGATCTTACATTTTGACAAAAGCAAAACTGACACTTTGTTTTATATTACCGCTTAAATGACAACAGATTATATTTGATTATTTTTGCTTTTTCTGTTGGTAAAATATTAATATTAATAAATAAATAAATAAAAAGAAAAATATTATTTTCACTTTATAAATACATTTATAACTTTTTATTTGATTTATGTAAAATATATTGTTTTACAATTGTACATTTAGTAAAAAAAATCATTTTTTTATCTGTGAATATTTTTAATTATTTATTTATTATTCCTCATATCTGGGTAAGGTTAGGTTAGAACATTTAAGATTATTTATTTATTATTCCTCATATCTGGGTTAGGTTAGGTTAGAACATTTAAGATTATTTATTTATTATTCCTCATATCTGGGTTAGGTTAGGTTAGAACATTTAAGATTATTTATTAATTATTCGTCATATCTTGGTTAGGTTAGGTTAGGTTAGGTTAGAACATTTAAGATTATTTATTAATTATTCGTCATATCTTGGTTAGGTTAGGTTAGAACAGTTGCCACAACGCACGAGCCGAGCGAGCGAAGCGAGCGTGCCGCGGTAGCGGCCGGCGAGTGCCATAAATGACTAGAAAACTAGAAAATTCGAATTTCACGCAAAGTACAAATAAAGACAATCATCTGGAGATCATTTTGACAATTGAAAGTGACGTTTTGACTCCAAGTGTCTAAATGGTAGTAATGTCAAAATAATGTATGGAAATGTTATAACTTTAAGTCTCAATAACTTTTGACTCTTTTGTTGTATTAAAAAATTTATTTAACATTTCGACTCCCTATCACGTCCCTTATCCAGAAATACCACCCACTCCGCTAGGGGCCAAGTCCCCAATTCTAAACGGCCGCCAAAATTATTATTATACAGACAATTTCATGGATGCGCAATTATTAAATATTTTTGAAGTTATATTTACTTCTTTTGACGCGTTAGGGAAAAAAATGATAAGAAAGATTTTTTTACGGTGCAACACAATTAGATTACAGAATGAAGTTAGTCGTTATTAGACAACTGTATGAAGTTAGTAATTAAATTTTCCTTTAGTACAGTGCGATGTCTATATTCAAGATATTTATTCCGGTATTTATATATACGCAACAGGTGTTTTTTATCGATAAAAATAATTACAAACTTTTATTTAGTTTCACCTGTCCCGGTGTCTGCCTGTAATCAAATCTTGCAAGTTAAAGATCCAACCCCCGTGTCCGATTGAGCTGAAATTAGACACACACGTTTGATTCTCGTGATTGCACAATTACTTCAATGCCGCATTTTTATACCAATATGGTTACAAAATGGCTATTTATTATTTCTATAGTGACCATTATGATATAGGCATCAAATAAAAGGACTTGATGAGCGAAACACAATAAGCAAACTGACGTCGTTGTAAATCAAACATGGCGGACTATTTTTTTCATGCACGCCCATGATATGGATATCAAATGAAAGGGTTTGCTGCGAAGACTACGAATAGAATAAATAACAAAAAAAAACAACCTTTTTTTAATGCTCTAGAAAAGTAAACAAAGAAGTACAACTCACACACACTATTTTTTCACTATTTAATAGTTGGTAGGAGATTTCGAATTAAAAAAACGTCTATTAAATGTCAAGGCTGTAGTCATTTAAATGCTCGAGCATTTAAATGCCTACAGCCGTCGAGTCGTGCAAGTATTGGGACGGGCCTCCTGATGACTATGAGGATTAGGCCATATATCACCACGCTGGCAAATTCGTTAATAGACTTCACGCGTCTTTCGAAAACTAATTTTGGATCTCACATCTACATTCCTTAAAGGCGTTTTTCTTAATCGTATTAGTAAGTAGTACTCATAGTGAAAATAATTCTCGTGAAATTAAAAATGAGAGTTTGTATATTGTTGCCCGAGCTTGAACCTGCTTCATTTGGCTTTCCAAACGAGAGCGTTACCAGTGAGCTACAACTTGTAAATAAATATGATAGATAGGTACCTATTATATAAATTTAAGGGAAATAAAATTTTCCCTTTAAAACCATTTTTAATATAACAATATGCAAAAAATATACATATTATAAATTCTTAGAATTAATTAATAAAAATAGCACGCTTCGCTCTCTTCGATTGTTGGATCGGTGCATACGTCGGCCACAGAGACATAAGTGGAAATAAGAACTAGTTGTATACTACGTAATAGACTAATAGAATATTTTATAATATTGTATTTATACATTTTTATTTGTATTTAAATAAAAAATAAAATAGTAAAAATAAATGTAAAAACCATCATAATTTTATTTATTTACTATTGTATATATTTTAATTAATTAATTCTTTTACAAATATTAATATATTATATAATATTAAATTGATTAAGTTGAAATATTTTTGTTATAGCAATCAGTACCAATGCGTCACAAGGAATTCCAACTCGTCAACGTGCCTGCCGCCCTTAAGTACATAATTGACTTTGCGGCAAGCAAAGTGTCTCCGAAAATGAGCGAAAGGCTACATGTAAGTGACTACGTTATTTAAAAACACGTACATATATGTAAGAATATTATATACTAGTGGCTCACCCTCGCTTCGCTCGGGTTCACCTCTAGAAAAGCACAATCAGATCAATCCCACGGGAACCGTTCATTTTTCCGGGATAAAGAGTAACCTGTTGTTGACCCGCAATATAAGGTATTAGCATGCAAAATTTTACTAAATTAGGTGCATAAGTTGTTGTGTACTAAGCTGTATTAGTTACTATAGTTTTTTAACTATCCAAAGGGAGCTCTTTAATTTTCCGGGATGAAAAATATCTAAGATCTTGCCTGGAGATATAAGGTGCCACCATGCAAAATTTCAGTTAAATCGGTCCAACACTTTCGGAGATTAGCCCGTACATACAGACAAACAGACAGAGAAACAAAAAAATAATAATATCTGAATTTGTCTATTTCTCTTCTTACATCCCCCTGACTCCGTTTTTAGCATTTTTTTTCTATGTGAAGATTTAAATGTAGCTTTACAAACTGGTTATATAGGTGACGAAATTCTAAGGTCACCTTATAGTAAGATGTGATTGGATTGGATTGGAATGGTATACAAATTTAGAGTATATTTTCGTGCATCCTCTTCAATAATATTTTATATGCGATTTCAACATTAGTGAATCCAAGTGAGTTGTTTCTGATCAACTCGATGTAACATAATAAATAATCTTTTTTGTTTAATTTGAACGTAAAAATAAACGTTAAGAAATTCGAATTAATTTATTTAAGGAAAATGTTCGCCGTTTGGCCACCTAAATTTATAGGTGTAGGTACTTTCCAGCACACCTATAGTCGGGTGTACTAGAACATAAAAAATGCTATATTTGGTCCGTCTTTACCTTATGAGACAAAACAAAAATGCTAGTAAAGTAGCGATGTAAAAGTTTTTTAGTTTATATATTTAAATAGGTATACATATATTAGTTAATAATATAAATTTTCAAGGACGACTCAATCGAACTAGTTGTTGTGTTTTCCCGTAGGAATAAAATATTTTCCTGTAGTAAAAGGTATCATAAATGTTGTTTCAAGTAATAAGTCATCACTTCACAAAATTTAGTTAAAATGGGTTCAAGTGCTTATTGCGTGAAACGCACAAACACACATTTTTTTTAATAACTATTGTTTGGGGTCTAATTTCTATACACAATTAGTTACAGTCATTGTTTTAACAAAAATCATGTACAGATTTCGCTAAGTTACCGTTTTATTTTAAGTACATAATATTTTATTTAGAGTTGGCATTCGTAAAGTTGAATTAATGTTCGTGTATAGTAGTTGTTCCATTTTATTTCATTTTGCAACGAATTTGTTTTATAAAAAATATTAAAAAAATAATTAATTCAAGGCATATTGTTATATTTGCACACGACTTCATTCGCGTCATAGTTACATCGGTGAGAAGCTTTTTGGCTACTTCTTCGCGCTATAACAGCTCAACTTTTTTAGTGAAATTGAGTATAAAAATCATCCACATCCTAGAATAATAACGAGAGAAATATATCAATATACCTACCAACTAGCACTTTATGTATATCTAGTGATGTTGGCGACTTACGTAGGGGTAGTGTCGTGCGTAGACAAACAGACAAAAAAGGGGTTTTGTCGTGAGTAGCGTTTTTAATTTTCATATACTTTGTAATTATACATTTCCAAAAACGCGTTTAACTTACAAACAATATTAAAAAAAACTTATTTCAAGTTATCACTTTTTATATCTCATTTTTTAGCAATTTATTTCTATTTAAAAGTTATGATTTTAGTTTTATCGAACCCGAACAAATAATTATAATTCGAAAAGTTTTAAAGAGTTTTGTGTCACGCTAATATCAATAATAGTATATTCATATCAAAAGTTTCTGCGCATATTAATGTTTGTTTGTTTGTCCTTCTTTCACTTTGAAACAGAGTTGGAGGGTTGTTGAACGAATTGTCTCTAATTCGTTCATGGTTGTAGTGTAACATAGGATACTTTTTACCGCGAGAGATTATCTCATTCCCACGGGAAAGTACGTTATAATCGAACCCACAACAATTAGTAGACTAATTATTATATATTTTTTACTATACCAAAAATAGTAAGTTATAACACAAAAAAAATTATAAGTACTGCATGAAATTATAAGGAAGGTTTTTCTATAATAATCATAAAGAGAATTTGCATAAAGCGGCAAATTGACTAGATATTTGGCCTCCAGAGAGCTTAATCAAGCCTCATTTAAATATTACAGACATAAGATTGATATTCAAACGTCACGTGTGTGTTGTTTTCCACACGGACCACAACGGTTCGCGGTTCAACGGTTTTCGTCTTAGTTCACGCGCTAACTTGAAAGGATTTATCCATGTAAAGGCTACTCATATCTTTTTTCCTGATTTTCAGGCGATTAAATGGTAATAACATGCCGACTGCCTAAAACAATAACCTGTTTTCGTTAGTTTTACCTGTTTTCATGTGTATTTTATACGTGGAAATGAATTCACGTTTCAATTATTACAAAATATAATTAAATCGAAATTCCTTTTGAGTAAACATCAACTTCAATTTAAAATTAATTACCTATATTTAATACGTTATGTAATGTTTACACTCGATATTTACATGATAACCCTGAATTTATAATCTGGCTAGGTGAATTAAAATGTGAAACTGTGTTGGATAATTTAATCTACCACAAGAATGTTAGTTGATAGAATAACAATGAGCGCATTATACTTAACTATCGATTTACCCTCGCTTCGCTCGGGTACGTCCCTAGCTTGATTCCCCATATAAACTTTCATCCCCACTTTCACCCCCTTAAGGGATGGTTTCTAAGATAAAAAGTATTCTATGTCCTTCCCAGGGACTCAAACTATCTTCTTATAAAATTTCATCTAAATCGGTTCAATAGATCCATAGATTACCCCCTACAACGTTACAAACTCACAATTCACAAACTCACAAATTTTACCTCTTTATAATATTAGTATAGACTAGCGATTCACCCTCGCTTCGCTCGGGTTCGTAAAAAATAGTAAGTTCATAGAAATAGTTATCGTCCAGCGTTAGCCATGTAAATTTATTTTTATTTCTTAAATATTTCCGATGTTTTAATAGTTATTCTGCTATTCGGGGCGGAGACAAATCCAACAAATTAAAGATCATCAAAATCGGTCCAGCCATTCTTGAGTAATAAGTGTTGTAACAAACCCCACTTTGTTTCATCATGTGGAATGTAACACCTTCAACTTTTAGAATCGTGATATCTTAGAAAGGGTAATAGTTAGGAAAAAAGTATTACGACCATTAATGTAGACAACTTTATGACCTCTAATTTTTGTCCAGATTATATTTTTGATAAAACTTACCGTTTTCGAGAAAAATCCAAAAAAAAAAAACAACAAAAATGTTGACCTTTGGCCTTCAATAACTTTTTTAGCACACATGGGATCGATGGAGACTTTTGACACGTTATTTCTAATGGTGTATCCAAGGTTTCTACCAAAATTAGCTCTGTGGGAGCTTTTGTTATTTGAAATGCCTGTTTTGGTCGTACTCTGAAACATTGTTAAGCTTTATAATTGCAGTAGGTATATTGCATACAGCTATCATATACTAATGTAAATAATTAAATTTTAAATAATTTTAATAAATCAGTCAATCAATCAATCCTATAAAGATTGCATGAATGATTGATTGACAAGCCTGTTCCGATCGACAAAAAAATATATTAATTTCTTCACATTAATGTACAGTTTGCGAACTATTAAAGGGGAAAAATACTTAAGTACCTTATATATATATATATATATATATATCTATATATATATATATATATATATATATATATATATATATATATATATATCAATTGCCGTTGTCAGTCTCGGTAAAACTCAAAAATGGCTGGACTGATTTGAATAACTTTTTTTTGTTTCGTTGGGGGTGTGTCAGGGGTGGTTTGCTATAAAAAAATAGGGAAACCCCAAAAAAATCGATTCAGAACTGTTCATTTTATGTCTATGTATATACCTATAACATATAGTCTATCTATTCCATACCAAACGTTAAAACGAAGCGAGGGTGAGTCGCTAGTAGATATTAATTATAAATATTCTGAAATATAAAATATTATATTTAGATATAATCACTTCAGTCATCGTGAGAATTTTGGCTGCACAACATTTTTGTTTAAAATATTCACACCACAAATAACGCCAGGAAATTTCGCAAAGAGTTAGTTGTCTTGCCGAATTATATTATCATAAATAGTGTGCTAACGTAACCATAAAAGAAATACGTATATTTTACGTGATTTTATCTTTTATTATTGTGCAATTACTTTAACGATTAGGTCATCGTTAATTTAATTACCGGAAAATAAAAAAAAAACCTACTGAATTGACTAGATTTTATATATTTGTATTATGTAGCTACACAATATACGTAACTTCAAGTTCAAGAAATGGATGCCTTATTTATTCACCTAGACTTTCACAAATACTTTTGGAATGAATTTAAATATTTAATATTTCTTAAATATGTTACTATAAAGATATTTAAATGTGTTTTTTATTTTATTAGATCCACACCAACATCAAGACTTTGCTAAATCACGTGGACATGTCGTGTTTACCTACGGCATACGGAGGTCACATACCACTACAAGATATGATCAAATTCACAAGAGAATTGCTCTTGGAAAAAAGGGAGACCGTCCTGGCTTTAGATAAAATGGAACTTTTAAGCACTAAAGGCATCATTTCTTCGAGAAAACCAACAAATATCATTAAAGGTGACAACGTTTCCGTCGAAGGAAGCTTCAGAAAGCTAGAAATAGATTAACTGTGATCTATGATATTAAGTGTATTATAGTCCATATCTTTATAGTCGTTTTAGGCATTTATGATACGTGTAATGTTTAATAAATCCCAGAGTAGATACAGGTGTTATTTGAAAAATCATTAAGGTCAAGTTAGCAGTCATGTGCAGTGAAATTGACCGTGCTCTCTGCTAGTACCATGATATATAACAAATTATTTTAAATAGTCTGAAGTCGTCATAGAGTTTTCAAATGGGTTTATTTTGTTATATTTAAGATATTATAATTTAGTGTAACACATTTGCTGCGGCTTTAAATTTTACTGATGTGTACTTATAAACTTTCATGTACGAGTATGTTACCTATTTAGTAAAGTGTAATAAAACAAATTAGATTAGTATTAGACGATGATGGATAGATATTCTCTCATATATTGTTTAAGTCTATAAACATACATTGAAAGTATAATTATGTATGTAAGAATATGTATCTTTTTATTATAATTAAAGACAAATAAATACAACTTTTAAAATGAAAGTTATTTGTTTTATTAAATTATATTGACATGTATATTTGTACTATTGTTATTAAATAAATAATAAATAAATAAATAAATAAAAATATATCACCGAAATGTATGTATGCACATAACTTCCGATCGTCTGCACCAAATTGGATAATTCTTTTTTTTTGTTTGTTATTGGCAGGACAAGTTTTGTATAGACGAAAATAATTTTTACTAAAATAAGATTTTTTAAATCTCATTATATAAAAAGTGAGTGAGTGGAATAGTTTTTATCCCAGAAATCATCCCTTAAGGGGTTGAGAATGGGGATGAAAGTTTGTATGGTAAGCAAGTTAGGGACGAACCCGAACGAAGCGAGGGTGAGTCGCTAGTAGTATATAAATATTATAATAATTAATATGTATATGAAAAGAGAATCGAACATTCGATTCAAATTTGAATTAAACTAGCTTATATTTTTTTTAAGACGATGAAACCGGTGTACGTACAGGGCACTCAAAAACAAAAATATATCAGCAATATTGTGCAAATTACGAAAATTATATATTACTAGCAGAACCCGCGGCTTCGCTCGCGCTAAAACTACTTACATAAAAAATCTCTAAAAAGTTAGGTTTCATGCAAACTTTTATCCCACATTTTTCCCCTTATGGGATTAGTTTCGAAAAATGCTAATACACGTACTTATTTAATTGTATTGAAGAGCATTAATATTAAGTTTCAAGTAATTCTGATCATAAATTTTTTTGTGACGAATTATAACGTGTTTTCCCGTGGGAATGGGGATGAGGTACTCACAAAAAAAATCACGCCAATCCGTCAATCCGTTTCGACGTGAAAGAAGGACAAACAAACACATTTTCCCATTTATAATATAAGTATGGATTTGTAAACATCTAACGGATATTAACACGTAATTAGTTCATTTAATAATAATTGACATGTGACACGAATGTGGTTTGTTTCATACCTTTACATTCAAATAAAAACTAGAAAACATGGCACTTTATGGCACCATCACAGATATTTTTTTATTTATTCAAGTGTCTTCTACCCGTTTAGGTACACCAGTTTCATTATACCCGAAAGCCTAAAAAAATATAGAACATTGACAATGGCATTATTTCCTAAAGTAAATTATTTAAATTAATTCGTTAATCAAGTTACTCACTGGCGCGTGTCATCTATCTACATTACACAGTAAATGTACTACATCAACTCAAGGAGGTTGTTCTAATTTTATACTTTACTAGTAGAGCCCACAGCTTCGTCCGCGTTCAATCTACAAAAAAAACCTTGCTTTATGTTATACTAGTAGCAGCCGCTGCTTCGCTCGCGCTAAAACTACAAAAAAATCTCTATAAAAGTAGTTTCATACAAACTTTCATCCACTATTTTACACCCTTATAGTATGAATTTCGAAAAATGCTAAAACACGTATTTATTTAATTTTATTGAAGAGCATTAATTCCTAGTTTCAAGTAATTATCATCATATTTTTTTTGAATTGTATTATAGTGTATTCCCGGGGAAATTTGGTAAACTCCCTCGGTAAAAAGTAGTCTATGTCACTCTACAGCCCTCCAACTATCTCCACACAAAAAATCACGCCAATCCGTCACTCGGTTCGACGTGAAAGAAGGACAGACAAACAAACAAACAAACACACACACACACACATTTATAATATTGGTATGGATAGCGTCTTACCCTCGCTTCGTTTGGGTTCGTCCCTATTTATTAGTATTAATATCATATTAAATTATTTGGATATTGTCAATAAAAAAATACTAAAATTGCGATTCAAAAATGCGGGGTGGGGGTAGGATGGTAAAAAGATACTTCACGACCTACTTTCATACCAAATATACAAAAAAAATCATTAAAATCGGTCGAGCCGTTTCGGAGGAGACCGACCGACGACCACAAACAACGTGACACGAGATTCTTATATGTTAGAAGATTATTACTTTTGGACACCATGCTTCACTGTGTGTATGTTATGATATATCGTCGCCAATATCTTGCTGATGATTCTATTTTAAAAAATAGGGTTATTACTTCATCTTTGGAAATATAATTATTATTATTTTATTGGGTGTGGTGCCGAGGTCGGGCCCTAGCTACGTCGACCAGTTATGGTCCATTGTAGCCACAGTCGCAATAATCATCAAGGGAAACATTTTCTTAGCTCATATCTTTCCGAACAGGTAGTAGACTCATGACGTTCAGTAAAAAATTGTAATAATTTAATGCTGAATAAAATATTTTGAATTTGAGTGCACGCACAAATCTTGCAGTATATTACAACTGCAGGGTTCAGGTAAGACTTTACTCAGCAAGCAGCAACATTATACATGTAGCCGCAGGAAAAAAAATATTACTTTATAGTACCCACCCACGTGGTGTCCTTAAAAGTGGAATCGAAGGGCGAAGCTTTTAAATTGATTTCGAAGTCCGTGAGCCTTTTTATTTGAATTTATTTATAGGCAGATTATAAAAATTAGGTTAAGGCTACGAAATAATTTTGTGAAATGTCTCGTTGAACGACTTTTACTAACTGGTTTTTATAATTAAAAAAATAAGTAAATATTAGAATTTCCTTAAGTTTTAAAAAATATTTTTTTTATTTTTCTCATAGCAACGATTAACGAAATTTAGTTTATCGATATACTTTTGAAACAAAATAAACACGTATAAAGTACATATATTAGTATTCATTAGTTCATTAATCATAATTAATTAATTAGTTATTAGATAGTAGCGACTCACCCGCGCTTTGCTCGGAATCGTCCCTATGTACGTTTTAACAGTTAGTATGGAATAGATAGTCGATCACATTCTTTGTGAAAAAAAATCTATCCCGCGGGAATCATACATTTTCCGGGATAAAAAGTAACCTATGTGCTATTCCAGACTATAATCTATCTCTGCGCCAAACTTCATACAGATACGTTTCTAACCACTCTGGCGTGACTAAGCAAGAAATATCCATCTATCTAAACGTTCGCATTAGAGTGCATTGAGTGCTTAATATTCGTATAAATGTTTAAGTGCATAATAAAATAGATATAATCACATCATAAAAGATCTTATCATAATTAAATCACAAACATAACAGGTAATAAATATTAATATATTATGTAAGCGTGAGTTAATTAAAATTTTCCGGTCAAAGTCAAATATAATTTCGACATGTTGTTTTATATTATTACTTTAATAAAAATACATGCATAGAGGGTGAACAATGAGGTGACCGACTTTTGTATACAATATTCCAGGTAAGAAAACCAATCTATAAATTAATATAAATTGCAATAAGTAATTTGTGAAATATTTTTTATTATAATTTTTATTGCTTTTGAATCAAGGCTTTTGTGTTAAGAAAATAATTATTAAAACGTGCCAATAAAGATGGGAATTTCAAAGTAGTTGAAACGCACGCCATTGGTTAGAGCGAATTTGACGTCAAAGTATTATAATAACAAAGCGATTAGCGATTTTGTCGCTACAAATTGAGTCGTCATTTTTCTGTCTATATCATACTGTGACGTCACGCCATGCGCGCGATATGGCGGGCGTTTAAAGTATCCGTATACTTTTATTATTTTTAAAAGATTTTTTTAACTAAGTTTTAGTTTTATGGTGCTGGATTTTTTTTTAAATATATAAATGTTTTTATATAAAATAATTAATAATTTCGTTGATTCCCCTATTATTATATCCTATTCTCCCTCCAAACGCAACCAAACGTGTAATCAAATGTGATGAAAAAAAATATAGATGAATAAAACTGTATGTTTTTTGTTTTAAATCTGATTAATCCTATACCCACAAACTTTCACACTATTTAGAAATACTGCTGCCATCCATGTACGTATTCATGTTATATAGTAACCAAGTAATACTTCAAGTTTTTAGATCCAATAGCTTTTGCTGTCAATGGAAAGCAAATATAATATACTTATTTCGATACGTAAAATACATATTTACCTATTACTCGTAGATATTCATATCTTAAAATATTGTCGGCTAGCACCGACTTCAGAAATATCTGATTAGGTATCTATTCTAAATGAAACCCTCCGTTTAGTTATTTTTTTACATTTTAGTGCCTGGAAGTCGGTTTTTTTTATGTTTTTATTTGTCCATTTTTAGTATAGACGTAATAAGCAGGTAATTTGTTAGAAGAAACTTGTTCATAAAATATTTGATTAAGCAATTTATTTAAAAAAATAAATTATTGTTGATTTTTTAAAAACCGCTCGACCGATTTCAATAAAATTTAAATGGGACCACCTGGAAAGTATATCCTTCGAAACAAAAGAAAACCAAATCGGTTCAGACGTCTTCGAGTAATCGATAAGCCGTGATCATACATAAAATAAAAGATTCCGACGAATTGAGAACCTCCTCGTTTTTGGAAGTCGGTTCAAAATAGTGCATAATTAAAAAATACTGATATAAACATATTGGTAAGTAAAGATTTGAGTT